GTGCTGCCCCTCCTGCAATACAACGTGCACATGGGAAATACATTTGGTATTTTATTAAGTAAACAAAGCAATTATCAGTGCACATTTTAAGCAGCAAAAAGAAAAGCACCTCAGACTTTCATACCGTAACAAAAGTTCTGTGGAAGCTGCATTTTATTTGAAAATCCACCCATTTTTGCTAACATACATTTTAATATTTTAAACAAAAATAGAATCTGCAGAGACAATGCAGCAAGTATGCTTAACTCATGTACAGAATTGCTTTCATATCACCGACTATCCTCCTGAAGGCCCCACTCCACCCAAGAGTTGTGATGTATTTACAGAAAGCACCGATCAACAGTGCAACTTTCATTCTTCGTGAACGAACGACCCGCCAGCTGGACGCCAGGGAAGCTGCTCCCCCTTCCTGGCTTTAGAAGGTACGTGATCATGAACATGGCACCGCCCCAGTGAAGAGGCTTCCCCCCAACACACAACACCTCTTTTTGTTTTTTAACAGAAAAGAAGGAAAGTCTTAAAGTGAAAGCAATTCCTCACATTCATTTTGGAAAGGCCTTATAATGTCAAATGTAAAAATAATGACATGCCAAGCACAAAGCAATAAAGTTCCTTCCCAATGCACTAATGCTGAATTAAAAATGTAGTGCTTCTTCTAGTCAGTTAACTGTTCCCTTGCAAAATCCTAGGCACAGAATTGACTATAAGGATTAACGCATTTTACAGCTCTCCTCTAATTCCCACTTATACTGAGAATTATTAGATTCAGACCTTTAAAATATTTAGTGCTCTGTATTGTCAGCTGAAAAGCATTCTGAATCAGATTCATTCTTTGTGGATAAAAATCAGACATACTGTATACACCCATACTCATTTTCATAAGGAGTTTTTTGATACAATATTAATGTTAAATTGATAATCATAAATAAATACAAACAATAATACATAAGGAATGTCTACTGCAAACTGAATATATAATTTTTAAAAAAAGTTAATTCCCATTACTGCTGTGCCTACATTTGTGAGGACTGAAGAAAAGGTAACTGCAGAATTAAGAGTTAGGATTTGAGCCTCCCCTGCCCAAAGTCTTGTTGTGAGTTACGGTAAAGGACCCACCCCTGTTCCAGACAGCAATTCCAAACACCAATCTCAATTTCCAGAACAAAGGCTTCTCTTCGGATGCTACCAATTACAGGTGTTACTAGGAGCTGAAAGGATCGACCTGTTAGTCACCAGGACAAGAAATACATCTCAGTCTTAATTCATGGCAATTCTTGGCTTCGTATTCTGTCTCGACATTTTCTTATGGAGTCGTCCCAGGTTCCTTCATCATTTCACTGCATCACTTAATGGAAGAGGAGAGTTTGGGAGACTGGAGTTCGTTTTTTCCTGGAAGTGGGGGTTTCTGGTGAGCACATTTTGGAAACGTTCCTTTCTCTTCCATCTCACGCAGTTACATAAACTGAATCTGGGAAGATTAAAAAACCACCATGTTAAGGAGGACTTTGCTATAAACCTGTGTTTTCTTCAAAAATTTCCGTTTTTCAAATGCCCAAGGTACTCCAAGACTGAAGTTTTGAACAAAAATTAAAATTTCACAAGATCACGGCCAGAAAACAACCAAAAGCCATCAGGATGTTCGTCCGAGTGCCTCGGCCTGTGGAACATCTCCCATCACTCAGCTGCCTTCCCAACCGCCACTCCCCCCCCAGCGCCGCCACCAAGGGCGGGGTACAGCCCAACAGCACCACAGAGAGAGCCCAAGGCGGCGTCTCCTGCCGAACCAGAGGAAGCACACAGGAAAGCAGCCGCTCTGTGCAGTAAAGCCTACTCTTCTTTTACACTGGGGCTCTTTCTTCACACGAGGTATGCTTGGATTTCTTTGTGCCTGCACTCACTTTAGTCTTTAACTGCTGCCCACCCCAGCTAATGACAAAGAACTCCAGCGCACGTCTGCACCAGCACTTAGCCCTGGCACGCCCGAAGCGAGCACCTCCCCCTGCGCAAGGGCGAGCGACCAGGCCAGGGCACAAGCAGCCTGCCAGCGGCACGTGGGTCTTGCCTGCCAACCACCAGCCCTGGACACTGTCCTGAACACATGGTAAGCACCAGGCAGTACCAGTCCCCTCTCCCCAACTCCAGCAAGGACCGTGTGCCGTCTTCTGCAGTTCAGGAGGGAACTACCAAATTTTGTTTCCAATGGACTGAAGCAAAATGACTTGGTCAGGCCTTCAAATCACTGCAAGTAAGTACATCAAGTTTCCAAATCACTTCCACAATGCTTCCAACTCAACATGACTCGCTTTTATTTTCTTCAGAAACAGTTCTAGTCACCTTAAAACCTGAATTAGAGCTTTTATTTTGTTTTATATCACAAAAACCAGCATCTCCCAGAGTAATGGACAATACCTAAGTTGTTCTACAAGAAATCCTGGAGAGAGAGCTCTGCAAAGGGATCCTTTCCTGAGGCTCTGTGAGGACTCTGACTGGAAGGGCTGGATGCTGCAGACAGCTAGTAGGAAAGACGACAGAGAAAGGGAAAGAAAAAGAAAAAAGGTCTCAGAATGACAGAATATGAAAGTTGAACGTGTAATGAAAGGACAAAGGGAGGTTAAGAGGCAAACTTGGCAGAAATCAACTATTAAAACAAGGTGTTCAGTCATATGGACACTGAAAGCCTCTCCCAATGGTCAGTGTAAGGCAGCAACAAGCTGAGCAGGACCCTCCAGAAAGAAAACTTCAACTGGCATTTGCCAAGTAAGGAGATATCCTCACACTCTCACAGCAACTTTCTTCAAAAGAAGATACAAAAGGTTAAGGCTGCGTCCTGTGAAACAGGTTAGTGCTCTCCTTGCTTTACTCGCAGGGGGAGATGAGACTGGGGGGTCTGGCCAGAGCATGGCAGCTTTCCAGATACCTTCTCCAGAAGCAGCAGCTTTCAGCATCTCTTCCTCTCAAAATAGGATGTGTATAAAAAGAGGCTGGAGAGCAGACAAGGGATTATTGTCAATTTGAGGACTAGAAAGAGAACTTGGGATGTACTCAGGGCGGGAAAGGGGGAAGAGGAGAGCTTGTCAACTGCTGCCATTTTAGGTGGGAATTTAAGACTGAGACCAGTAGTCTATACTTAGAAAAATCACATCCTATAGCCATGTAATTAAAGCAGCACACTACAAATCCAGCCATATAAAGCACATAATTTACAAGTGGGCAATACTGGCATTCCAGCTGCTGCTGCTGGAAGGGACAGATAATCTGCAGGCTGTAATTGCAGGAGTATCTGTTGTCCGTTTGTTTTTTTTAGCTCTATTCCTTTTTTTTTTTTTTTTTTTTAGTGTTTTCCCAGTTATAAATGGTGCTTTATTAAATTCTATTTGCTCTCTTCCCTCATGGCACTTGCAGGTTTTTGCAGTTACAAATAAAAACAGTCAACTTTCTCTGATTCAGGTTCCATCACTTGAACAGTTTACTCATAACTGAGTCACAAATTGCCAGTGCATACTTGCACTTCACACCCATTGCAAAAAAACAGTCTGAAGACATTTTTCCTTTGGAAACACTGAATGTCTGCCAATCTGCCATAACAGGGAATGTGCTTATGGGAACTGACGTGCAGAAGTGCCCAGAGTGTAAATATTGCCATTGCAAATGCAAATTTCTCACATTAATGTCTATCTCTGAAACCATGCTGGGAGGAGTTTTTCCAGGATCAGTACTCTCTATCTGGGTTGGAATCTTCATCTCCGCTCCCAACGGGGCACTTGGATCCAGTCCCCATAAACAGATTATGGAAGAGTCATGAGACAGAATGAGAAGTGCTTGAGAAGCAATTTCAGGATGTTGGAAGTTCCGCTTTTAAGCTTGGTTCTTCCTTGTGGAAAGCCATAGCTCACACCCCCCACCACTCTCCAGGATTTGAGCCAGATGACTGATAAAGGCCAGCAGAGTCAGAACTTCAGTAAGGTGTGCCTGCTGAGACTTCATTTCATGAGATGTTCTCCTCCTCATGGTCAAATGGCTTCCAGTCACATAGTATAAGTCCTGTTAAATTGAGTTGGCAAATCTCCAACTGATATCAAGTCCAATGTAATGTCTCAGTTTGAAAGCAGTGTGGAAGACTGGCAGGTTTGGAGCTCTGTCATTTGTGCAACATCAGCTTATAACCAAGAACAGAAATGAAATTTTAGGAAGCTGTTCAGGTTAAATACTGGGGAAAAAAAACCCAGTGCTGCTCCCTAGATGCCACAGCCAAATTGAGACAAGACAGCACCTTACAGTAAATACGTATTTTAACAAGATTCCTCCAATTATTAAAAAGGAGGCATAAAATAATGCTTGAGGCACAGCCGGACAGTTTCCTACATTGCATCTACCCAGAATAACTTCTGAATGTATCTGAACACCAGAAGCTACCTTGGCAGTTTCTAAGCAGAAGCATTTAAAAGTACAGCACCAGCTAGCAGCTTCTCTGAGGTAACACACCAGGAACTGTGGATTCAGCCTCTTGCCACCCAGCGCTTGTGTGCTCTGAAACAACATTCTGGGCTGGCTCAGACCCACAGCTCAGTCTCACCTCCAGCAGCAGTGGGCACCTCTCGCTGCCTCCACCAAGGACAAGAACTCCCTGGAGTCACAGTAACGCCCAACAGCCCATCCCCAGCGAGTGCTGTGCTCATGCCCATCATGAGCTAGATACTGGATTCCCATTAAACAACTCTGCCAAGCTGGTTTAGCTTATGTTTTAGGATTAATGTGCCAAAATAAACACCTGTAAAGTCTGCTTTCTGGCACAAGTCTGTCCTGCACATCACACTTCTAGTTTCCCCCCCATCCCTAAAAAAGGCCCTCAACTAACCAAACTAAAAAACAAGCCCAAGACCCCAAACATCCCTTCCCCCAACTTACTCATTTGGACATTTACCTGTTCTTCACCATCACCAGGCAGTCCCTCCCTACTGACGTCTTAAAGCTTTCACCACCCAGAACATCTGACCCTGAAAGGGGTGCCCCTGGTCTGCCAGCGCTGCACGATTCCTGTGGCCACGGCGGTCTGGCCTCTGGCGGGGGCGAGCGCCCCAGCGCGGCTCTCGTGCGCTACAATGCCCACGTACACCCCAGCTAACTGCCCACCAGGCCCACCTGGCTCCCCTGAACTCTTCTGCATCTGCTGCAGTGTCACATGGGCTACTCTTCCACCTTGTTTGGACCACTGCTGCAGCCTGTCCCTTCCTTGTGCACACACACTCACACCCACCAGCTAAAATTTAATCCAACAACTCGGACCATTCTCACTGTTCTAGGTATCACTATGTAAAATTTTTGCAATAAGGAGAGCCTAATGTTTTATCATAACGAAAACTATTCTTTGTCAAGCAGACAGACCTTAATGTAAGAGAAGTGATTTCAGAGAAAAAGGTACGTACCAGTTTCTTTTAAAACTACAAATATCTCCTGCACCTAGATTTTCAAAGATGCAACTGTTCTAGTCTCATTCTCAATTGTTTCAAAGTTTTTTGCCCTTAAAACCCCCCCAAATACTCTTGCTCTTGTTAGCAAAAATTAGAAAAAAGTTGCAAGCATGTAAACAGGACACTTGAAAGAGAGGAAAAATAGGTATGCCTAGAGGTAGGAAAAATACAGCCAAGACTAATCCTTAATAGCATCAAGTTAGGAACACCAGTTTGAATTATAAAGAAACGGGACAACATCAGGATGCCTATTTTACCAGTCTGTACACAAAGCAGAAGTTCCCAACGTGCTACAACTTGGCGATATGATTTTTCAGCAACAACTTTGTATCTGCCATTAGGCTTTTAAGCACCTTCAAGTTTCTTTACTGTAGACAGCAACCAAGCTCTATCAGCAGACTAGAGTGAAGGGGTAGAAGCTGGTGCCTTACACCTAACTGTGACTAACTGTTTAGTTTTTGGCAATGATGACACCATGAACAACACTCATATTAGAATGGTGTTTAGAGTGATCCGTGTGGGATGTGGGCAGCTTGAGTTGTGTGCCTTTCAGATAATCATTACTCATTCTTCCAGAGCTCCTTACTTACCCTAGGAACACACATTTTTATTTTTTTTTTATTTTTCTCTCTCTGTTTCTGACACAACAGGAGCACGAGCTAAACCTAAACGGACAAAACTGCTCTCCAAAGAGCCTCCAGACTAAGCCCCCAGGAAGTGCAGTGTGGGGACACTGCAGCCCTGCTCTGTGGCTGTGCGTCAGCACAGGCCTCTGCCGTGCACGGGGAAGCGGCTCACGCAGCCTCTGCATCACCCCAGCAGCTTTACTGATGTCAGGACTCTGAGAAGACCTGCAAGCAACATAGACTGTGTCTCTCCGGGAAAACCCTTTCTGGTCACACAGCAAGGGCTGGCTCAGAGGCTGTGTCTTCTACCAAATGAATTCTCACAGGAGCCAAACATGCTGTCAGGTAAGCACAATAAATATAGCTCCACACACCTCACTTGTGACTAATTCCTCTTTCTCCTGCTATGACAGCCAGCTGGAAATCAACCTAGACCAAGCCCTGCAATGTCAAATGAAGCAGAAAGGCTCACTTAGCTATTTACACCTACCGACTTCTCTGTAACTGGGTTAGGCAGGTAGGCAGATTTAAGGGACATTTCAAAATTGATGTTTTGGGAACTGCAGAAAACTCATATCCTTGAGAATCCTTTAATTTGTTCTTCCAGAAGTATCATAAACACATTTTCCCCCTTTGAAATAGTATGAAATCCATGTGAAAAATACCAAATCACTTGGTCTTAAGTGACAGTGAATGTGCAAAGGAGCTCTCAGAAGTCTAAGAGAAAGTCAACTGAAAACTGCATTTCTAGCTAAAGAAATCTAAAAGCATTTTAGATAAAGCCTTTATCTAAATGAAGACAGTGGACATACTGCCCACTGGCAGCACACAGCAAAGCTTCTCCTGTTAAAATGATCAGATTCAGGCACTGGAAAAGGTTTGAGGCTCTTTTCCCTTCCAACCTACTGCTGAATTCTCTTCCCTCCATGCTCTAGTCCCAAAGCCCACACCTGCAGCAATGTACAGAAGTTATACATGCATATTCTCAAACAGTCACACATAGACAGAGCTCTTTATAGCAAGACCAAAACACAGTCCCAATATATCACATTTTTCTCATAGAGTCACGATGTACATGAATTTTGACACAAGCATTTAACTAGTAAAACTGCAACATGAATACTGGAGTTCCAATCTGCCAGCTAAACTTGGCTCCTCCTCTACTGTTTACAAACACAACAAAGTCTTAATCTCAATTTTTTTCTGAAAACAGTAGCAAGGTGTTCAAGGTTGTGCATTCCCCCTCCCTCCTACTGTTTTTTTAAATTTCCTCCTACCGCAAGAAACTATTTTCAGATGGCTTTGGGTTAAAAAAAAAAAAAGTGAGTTCAGATGGAAACTGCCGGTGACAGAAGCTTGCAAACCAAGCAATAAAAGGTAGATGTTTAACTCCAGTACTGACAAAAGTCAGCTCTTCCCAGTGTGCATCAGAGTAACAGCCCAGCATGCTCTGTCATTCTGGTGTGTCAGGGAATGAATCTATACACAACCTACGATGAGAAGCAGACCAGCAGGAAGAGTAAGGAGCACTTCATTTAACTAACACCTTACTCAACAGGGAACGGCCGGGCGGGTCGGTGTAGCGACTGAGTATCTTTCACTGTGCTGTAAACGCTGCGCTCTGCCAGAACATGGAGGAATACTGAGACCTTTGGAGATTATGAAGGTTATAAGGAGATGGATGTGCCATGTGACCACACAGTGGTCAGTACTAACACCCAGGTGCTAGGTTGAAGTTTCACCAGGTTTGACACCACGTTCTTCTCAAACCCATCTATAGCATTCACAGACTTAACCCAGTTTCTGCCCTGCATATCCAAGCAGGCAGCTTACCCTTAAAGTTTACAGCTACTGCCAGCCTTGGTGACTTTGTACTCTAAGGCACACTTTGGTCAAGCAGCAGAGAAGATGAGCTTTGGGGAAGAATACTGTCTTCAGCAAGCAGCACAGGCATCAACTACTCTTCCTTCACACTGAAGTGTTGAGGATAATCTCAGTCACGTTAATAAAATTAATTCCACGCCTTAAAACACCTTCCTCTTTGCTTCTGTAAACCAAACTTGATGCTTCCAACCTGGATACAAGAAGCTAGGAAACAATCCCTACATGACCTACAGGACTTACGCAACACATTTGTCCAACACAGAAAATATTAAAACACTTCTGAAGAAGCTGACCCCTCTGTAACCTGTTCCCCAGCACCAACAGTTTGGAGCATTACGCACCTGTGCTCCTGGTACAGGGCCAAAAGGGTTTGGTGGTCTCATGACTGGCTGACTGTATATCAAAGTTGGCTGTGTCATTACTGGTATTCCTCCCATCTGCGATGGCTGAAAAAAATCCAGAGAGCATCAAGTCACACACAGCATTAAAATACTGCAAGTATTTGAGGAGAGAAAGGAAAATGGTAAATGGGTGAAATGTCTTATTCATATTTGACATATGCAATCATGTAAGATCTTTCTACAATCTTCTACAAATAAAGGTTACTAGAAGGAACATTTAAGCCTCTTGGAATCATAGAATGTTTGGGTTGGAAGGGACCTCCAAAAGGTCATCCAGTCCAACCCTCCTGCTATAAGCAAGGATATCATGCCTCTTCAAGGAATACTCCCAGTAACAACTGAGTCCATTTAATCTCTTTCTGCAAAGACCTCTAAACCTAAAATACCTGTAGAAGCACAAACCTTTGTGCTGGTTCTCTTGCTCCCAAACTGAGGTCTGACAACACTTCCCTGTCTGCCTTCAAAGACACAAGAACCATTTTACAGATACCAATGCAGAGCTGGGAGAGTTCAAGAAATGAGAGATGTATGTACAACTAGTGTTAAGCCATTACACAATCTAAGTCTTAAGTGTTACTGACACCCTGGCAGACGCAAATAAAGAGTTTAACATGTTAATGGTCTTAGAAGTCAGATTTAATTTATTTTATGGAGACACCCAACTCTAGAGATGCTTTTGGGACTTCCCTCAGGCTTGGGTTGACACCCAGCAGCAGCTGATACTCAGCTTTCTACTGAAGCAATCCCCATTCCAAGCAGGTTTTCCTTGACTATTTCTGGTGCTTCTCCTATCATGCCAACCAGCTGTTTGGGCAGCCACCCATTCAGGAAACTGACCCTGATGAAAACACTCTATAAAAGAAGTTAAAAATAAGTGTGAAGCAATGAAGCAACCAGGGAATGGTAAGGTACTAATGAAACTATGTTTCCCAGTATGAAAGCCTGTTGCTACTGGACTGCCACTTAGAAATATCTATGCGCAGAACTGTGGTACCTACTACAGCTTTTAGGAGAAATTAAACATAAGGGTTGCAAAACAGGTCAGCATTTCAGAGAATCCAAGCAGAAAACGTCCTGAATGAAGTTGGGATGAGCCAGGACCATGTTCAGGATGTGTTATCAAGCCTACTGGTGATCCTGCAGCAGCCCACCACCCCCATCTCTCAGTCATCACAGGCTCTGGGGCACCTGACAGCAACCCTGGAGCACGGAGCTGTGGCTCCGCTTAACACAGGCATCTAAATCCTGTGATGGAAGCTGCTTAACCAAACAGGCCAGGTTGCTTCCTGCACACTGACTACCTCACCCTCCCCAGCTCCTGAACCTGAGAAAATGTTTCTGGTACCCTCAGTGCAAAGTTGCGCGGATCAAGTTTGAATCAACACTAAAGGTCGTTTAACCCCAACAACTGTGCACAGAAGAGACAGAAGACAGGAGGTCTTGGATGGGTAATGAGGAACGTGATACTCTCCTAAAAAGACTCTTAAAAACACCACTGGCCACTTTTGCAGTTCAATTACTGAGTACAGAAGTCAAAAATAACCTAATTTGATTATGTGATGAAGCATTTAGGTTATTTTGATTATACTAATCTGTGAGCCACTTAACAGAATAACTGTTCTAAGGAAGTTCTCTTCCCTTTTATTCACCCAGCAAAGCTGTCCTATGTCAAAACTGTACTAATAAATGAGAATTTAGGCTTATTATTTCAGAAATTTAAAAATTTGAAACAGGAACAATAATCTGAACAACTTTTTGCAGGAACAAGCAGCAAGGTCAGTTTTATGGCCAAAGCCCTCCAGCAGTGGTGTGCCACTAAGATCCAACTCAGGCAGTGTCACAAATCTGCAGCTCTGCAGCATCGATCGTTACAGACACACCTTTAGCTGGGGTTGAGATCAAGTATTTAAGGAAGGTTTCCTTCCACCAATAATACATTTGTTGTGAAGGCAGCTATACTTGCAAGGCATGCCTAATGTTACACCAGTAAAGCCCACCAAGAATAGATACCGTGTTAATTTAAAATATTTTATGAAAAATTAAGGTGAGAAAGGGGCAGATTTAACTGCAGACAAAACCCACTGGAGTAGCTCAGACAAGTCAGTAGGACATGAAACTCAGTCTTCAGTCAAGCAGTCCAGAAAAACAACTGTTCCCAAACTATAAGCAATCAAACGATACAGCAGGATCCGACTTTGGCATTGCAGGAGTTCCACTCACCATCCCATAGCCCATCATCCCTGTTGGCGTTGTGGCAGGGTAAGCCATGACCGGTGGTGCCTGGGGTGGAAAACAGTGGAGAAGTGAGAGAAGAGACCAGCTGCATGCTGGCAGGCATTGCTGCCTATGGGCCAACTGCAGCACTTAGCTTGTCATGAATATGGCAGAGAATAAACAGCATCTGCAGTCCTGTGTGTATCCAAATTATTTCAGATGGGATACAAAACCTAAGCTAAATTTTCCAGGTGATGCTGGCAAATCTGCAACTATGTATTTGCTTTTAGCCTGCTAGTATTCTGGCTGACTAAAAAGCAAGCTACTCTCTCTCAGCATCCTGTTTAGAGACCACAGTATGAGCCACAAAGAAGTTTGAGAGAAAATATTTGGGGATCTGAAGCATCTGTTTAATCCCATGAAGTATATACTTATATTTCAGTATATACTTGCATTTCAATATCAAAAGTAATGGTGCACAAGGATGTTGAGAATTTTGCTGACTGAAAGACCAATGACCATTGCTTCTGCTGACACTACAGGAATTCTCTCCTCTGTAATCTCGTAGATGTACATGCTATGGTGGATTGTCCTGCCACACTTCAACAGGAATTCTGCTCTAACGTGAAAATCCAGCCCGCACTCCCTCACTCATCCACTTTGCACAGGGGATCTGAACAGGTTAAAAGTCCTCTTTGCAGATATGCTTATATTACTCCTAACATAAGTTAACTTCTATGAAGGTTACAGTAAGACTGCTGTCAGTCAAAACCAGGGGTGAAGCTATGTTTTGTAAATGGCTTGGCAACAGATACGTAGAAAAACAGCTGATAACTCTTAGAATTAAAAATCTATTAAAGACAGTTCTTCCTATCTCAACCATATTCTTCATCCTACATTTTCGTTATCCACTTCCTAAATTAGTATTAACTTTTACAAGGGCAAGAATATTGTGTTTGTTTTGTTTGGTTTTTCTTTAAGACTATAATTTGGTGCTTATAAATATTCAGAAAACCTGCTGCCTATCCACTCAACCTCCTGTTAGTCTCTCCTTTAACAAAGAAACAAGCTCATTTTCATGCTCTAACTGTGTGGATTACTACTCTTGACAAGACAGAGATCATATGCATTTCTTGGTACATATTATTATTGATACAGATAAGATGGAAGTGACAGAATATTAGTAAATTTAAATTAGACAAATTGTATCATCAAGAATAGGAGTTCAGCAAAGCTGCTTCTGAATTCAGTTCTAAGGTATCAGCTGCCTTTCACAGAGAGTAGCCAGGGTCACTGACAGTTCAACTGCCATCTGAACAGATTTCCTCCATCTAAATTACCTGCACTGTGTACTAACTGTGCACTTCACACAGCTGGCAAAGCTATCCTGAAAATTCCTTCTGTTCTGTTTTGCTTCTGTACGCACACCTATGCACACACAGACATGCTGACTAAATTTATTTTTGAGTGCTCAAGTATGGACCTACTGTCCTTTAGTCAGAGGTACCCTGCAATAAAAACAGAACACAGGGAAAGACCAATATAACTGTTGGCATAAAAATCCTTTGAAATGGAAGACTACATTCCTCAGAGAGCAAACACAGGTTGTTGCTTGCCCTTTCTAAACTATCAGTATGGATTTTCTTTTTTTTTTTTTTTTTCAGTATAAGCATTAATGACATATTGGTCTCTCCCCACTGAGAAAAAGAAAAAAAAAACAGCTCTACCATAAATGTGGATAAAGTGCCAAGTGTAACAGAAGCCCGTGAGGTTTCATGCAGTTATTCAAACACAAACATTTTTATCTTCATTCAAAATTCACTAAGTGCATTGAAGGCAGCACAGACACACACCCCAGCTCTCTGGCAGCAAATGGTACAGTTTAAAGCAAGGAAAAATAATCTCGGTATTTCCCATGCCATCATTCGAGTCAAGAGCCTGCAGACCACCTATGAAGTTCATGTATGCTAGGAAAAGCTCAATTTTTGGCACACCAAGGATTTTCAAATGAGAAATGTGTAAATAGCGAGGAAGGTTATGAGATTCTGCAACAGCAGTGGTTAATATCAGCATGCCAGTCGATTGCAAAAAGGCTGTGGGTTGTTTCACTTACGTATTGTGGAAAATGCATGCCATTCTGTATTTCCCAGGAAGAACAATTACATAATGCAATAACACTGGATTAGAAGCAAATACTTACATAATGGAATATACACAGATAGCATTTTAGTTTACAAATACATTAAATGTTTACCCCAACACGTTCTTGCAATTCAAGTCATTTATGGAGACAACACATACACCTGTGATACTGTCACTGTTAGTAGGTTTGTAATTGTTTGGCACAGTCCACTTATTTGGTATATGCCTTTTTTCCAAAGATGAGAATGCCTCATTTTCTAAAGCATATTTATTTAGCAAGCAGCAGCAAGTCCACAATAAATAGACCAACACAGGAAGACAAACTTTTTTTTACCCCTAGACTATTTCTGTTTCAAGATTTTTACATTAATAGAACAGTTTCACAGGAAGAGAAGTGTCTCAACAGTATGTCTCAATAATAAAGGCTGTTGAATGTAATGACTTGTCACAAGAAGATGTATATACAAGACATGAGTTATTAAACAGATTCAAGCACACAAGTAAACTCAAACCACACGTCATTAAAGCAAGTGAGTAGCTACAGTTTCTTCAAAATCGACACACCTTCCAATACCATCCACAAGTATTTCTCCCTCTATAAATGTGGTGAGTTGGTAAGGGCCACCCAGGAGGGGAGAGGTGATGGATCCAGAGGGACAAGCTCTCTCTTTCCAGATCTACAACACTGTACTATTACACTGCAGGTTCAACCTTCCCAAGTCAGTCAGACACAATAAATCCCTGGGGTGGTTTGTCACCTGTTCTGTCCATGTCCAGTTCCCCAGGTCATTGGTGAAAGGTAGAGTAGGATTCACATGCAAAAATGTTCTGTCAGCATTGTGAAAACTACTCATGTAAATCCTTAAGCTCTTTTTTGGATGTGTAATTAAGTGCCCTTGCTTTATACACCACCCGCAAATCCCTGCCAATGCTACCTGCTACAACAGACACTATGAAGTTGCTATCTAAAATGAACATACCATTAAAAACAACTGCACGCATCGAGGCAGGAAAGCAGCAGTTAAGTACATTGAGACAGCTACAGCCCATATCACTGCACAGGCACCTCTACAAGTATCAAGGGAATCAATCTCTCAGACCGTTCCCACCCCCAGGAGCCAGCCAAGTTGTGGTGTTTCACATACTTGATGTATCAGTGCACCTGAAGAACATATTTTGCACACTTTTACTTTTCTAGACTGCAAAGTCCCCCTGCCCCCCACTGGAATTCAATTTTATGTCCGTTGAGTGAGACATGAAGGCTGCTGGCTTGCCATGAGGGAGGCTGGTCAAACACTACTGAAGCTAGTAAACAAAAACTATTTACTAGAACCAAAACTAGTAGAACCGTGCAGCTAAGAAAAACAAATCCATATCAGCACACATCTCAAACTAACCACTTTTTCTACTAGCCTTTTACTGCAACTATAGATCACTTTCAAATTTGTCTACTACACATCAGACTGCACTGCGAAGTTGCAGGAACTCACTATTTTAAAACAAATAATTGCTTACCAACGTTGGAGCATTCCACGCGGTTGTAGGTGCAATCTTGGGTTGCCAGTTGGAACCACCAGTTAGTTTCTTCTCACCTGGTTGAGTCCAGTTTACATCACTTCAAATAAAAGTTTTTAAAGAATTGTTAGAAAGCATTGGATTTTCTTAAAAAAAACCCAACCAACCAACAAAGGTAAACAGTTTCCTCTTGGAAATGTGACTTCTTTTGTTAGTGAAGAAACTCACTTAGCAAAGAAATTGATAAAATGTCTCATGATAGCTTGTTTTTGCTAGGAAAAGTAAGGTAAGCTGTTCAACGTGAGCCACCTCAGCTTCATCTAATCTCAGTCAAGTTCCCCAGTACAGGTAAGTTAGTCTAGCTGACTTTTCCTGGGTCAAGATAGTTTAGTTAGGAGCAACTGCATACTGGATTTCTGAATGATTTCAGAGTTGGTGCAGATGGGCCCACTAAGCCTGGAATTTGCTAATCACATTCTCAACTTCACTGCTAGAGCAGATGCTTACTATCCTAGAACACACCTGGCTTCAAACTTCACTGGTCTAAAGGTCAACCACAAGTCAGAGGCTGTAGTTTCACAGTATTTAATACAGCCCTGCACACATTCAGACCACACTAGGTAATTATAAAGATGTGTTAAGATAATCTACTTAAACTGCTAAAACTTCAAAGAAACATTTTGATGAACTCATCTCCTAAACAGATAAAAAGGCTGAAAGGAAACAAGAGTCAGGAGGACATCTTGTCTGTGGTTATCACTGTCGCTACCACTCAGCCTACAGCCACCTTCCCACAGCTTTCAACAATTCATTATAGCTTGCATGAGAAATAAGTGCAATCTCTACCATGCTCTGAAGGGTAGCATTGTACTGTTGCACACAGGTTTGAACCTATACTTCAACAAAATTTTACTAGCAAGAAAATCAAAATACTCAACTTTTGATTAAACATACTCACTTTTTAGTAGTTCCGTTTCCAATTCCCAAATCTGTCACAAAGTAGAAAAAGGTACTATTGAAATTCTGTTCAACTAAAAGAATCAAATAAGCATTCATATGTTAGTGGTTCAATACTTACTGCCTACAAGATTGGCTAAAGATGAATCCAGATCATCTGACACTAATTTGTTAGGTGGTACTTTGGCAACTGGAAGACTCTGGTTTTGAGAGGCCACTGTTGGTTTTAGGAGACCACCTAGTTCATCAAAACCTTGGAATGATAAATAAAAGAAGTGGTTTGATTCACAGGCCTCCTGTAAATGTTACAACATTTGATTATGTAGACAGCAAGTTCAACACAGGGACTAAAATAAAATCAACCTAGTGGTGCTGCCCTATACAAGAAAGACAGAACTTGTTATGCCTCTTGGTAAAGGAGATATTATAGAAAGGAGATTTCTTTTTTCTAGTTTAACGTGCTTGTTTAACCATCCATTTGACATGGAATGGATTCACGACTGCAAAGCAATCAAGATGTAAACCCAAATAAATAGTAAATATCTCAAGTATTTCAATATTATATGTTTGCTTTTATTGGATCACTGGGTTGCCCAAAAAACAAACCAATGTCAAGAGCCCAGTTGTCAAAAGACCAGGGAGCATTTCCTTTCCAGATGCTCAAAAGAACAGCGTACTAACTATGACTACAATCCAAACTAACTGTGTGTGTTTTGGTAATTCATATTTTTCCAAAACAACCTTAACATCGAAAGAGTTAACAGACAAAGAAGTGCCAAAAATGTGTTGCACAGATATATAAGATTAAGACCACACTACAAATACAGACTTAATTTACAGCATGTAAAAATGGAGGCTGTTCACTCTGAGGTTTTAATGCACAAAATATTTAAGTGAAGGAAATCAATGTAAACATTTCAGCAGGGTGCACACAGAAATAGTGTGTAAGGAAAAGAAAACAGGATGAAGGAATGCTGCTTTTGACCTTTTAAAATCAGCTTGCTTTTCTTCAGCTGGAACACTGTCACAGCAGTATGAGTAAATACAGATTAAGAGATTTATACCTCAAGAGTAAAAAGAAGTTAAAGACATATGTCATCTATTTTAGTGTCTTACCACCAGAATCTAGGACAACATTAGAAGATTTGTTTCCAAACACAGACTCAAAGTCAACATTAAGGCTAGCTGATGGCTGTGGTTGAGCAACAGGAGATGGAGTGAACCCTGTGGGGAAAAAGAAAGAAGCTGAATGTTTTTATAAAGCATTTCCCATGAATCCACCTACTTTATGCAAGACTAATCAAATAAATATGTAGATTATTTAAGTATTGCAGTGAGACCAGGAATACCTCACAGGTCCTGATTACACCCTGACACCGAGAAACATGTAAGAGAAAGAGCTGAAAGCAGTTAATTTCAAAGTCCTTACTCCTCCAAATTAAGGTTGTGTCTCAAAAACTGGACAGACAGGCCAAAAAAGACATACATCCTCCCACAGTTGCTAAGTTTCTGGACTAACTATTCTCATCTTCCTTATTCTTTTACCAAACGCTTGCAATAAAACTACTGAGGAAATACTCACCACGCTTCTCCAGGAGAAGACGCTGGCTGGATACAGAATCTGTTTCCAGATCACCCTTTGAAGATTATTCCCTCTGTTTCATATCAGTTGAGCAGTTCTTAAATACAACTGGAGTAAGACCCAAACCATCCCCAGGTGCCTGACTAGTAATGTCTTCCATGACACAGCCTGAATTCTAATTACTTTTATAGCACTTTTAGTTATTTTTGGACACATTTTGCAGGCAACCACGTTCTGTGGAGAACTTGCTAGTAATTATGGTAAGTTACAAGGAGCTGAAGCCAAGTTTCAGCTCCCTCTCCTGTCTGAACTCACTCCATTTGTCTCCTATGTATCTGGAAAGCAGTATTCTCCAAATACACTTTTTTCAATACTGTGAAAAATCTATTGCAGTACAAAGCATTGTGTATGATGCTCAGCAGTATTGCATTGATAGTTCAGTACTATGGAAGTGAATACTAATTTGTTTCTAAAACAGCACTTTTTAATGTTGTATATGATCATGGATGCAAGCATGCATGTGCATCAGCTTGATATTCAGGCAATTACAGAAGTAATTACTACCACATATGAAAAGCACCAAAAAAATGCAATGCCATCTTGAAAATCAGCTCTTCTGGTTTATAACAAATTTTGATGATACAGAGAACAAAGAGAAAAGGATCACAAATACTGCAGCAGTAAAACGTCCTAGTGAGCAGAAATAACTGACAAAGAATATTTCTTGCATTTCATTCAGCTTGCTGTGACACCACCTCATGTCATAGGTAGTTTTCCTGAAATAAGTCATATTTCACCTTAAAAAAATTAATAACTATATGATGATAACTATATCCTTATGCAAAAACTTCACAGAAATTTGGATAGTCCATTCCTTCCTGTTTTTCTTAAAAAAGCATACAAGTCATAACTCCAAAGCATCCACCTCCAAGTATTTAAACAACATACTTTTCATCAAAAACAACTCAAAGGGAACAGCACACAGCAAAACATGGGAAGCAGTAACACGGGAAGAGAGAGGGAGCAAGTAAAAATCAAACCAAAATGAGTATCTTTATGACAAGTATACTGTCAAGTTGTAACAAGCCATTTCAGAGATTCAGAACTGCAGAAAGGAGTTCCTTTGATGGGATGTCCTGCAACTCTTAAACCCATGCCTGTACCTACAGAAAACTCAACTTCCAATAGTTCCTGTTTTTCTTTAGAAAATGGCCTTAAATGAAACAATCTGGCTTTCTTGCTCTCTTATTTTAGGAAGTTTCAAGCTGTATGAAGCTAACAAGATGAGATAAGCCGGAAGGCAAAACAATATGTAAGACTCCTCTGAATCGGCCTCTGTAAAAGATCAAATCCTACTCCCAGGATCAGCCCAGGGCATTTTGTCCAAGGTGGATGTTTTGAAAGATGCAAAGGTCAGTATTTTTCATGGTGTTCCTTCGAGGGAATAAACCAACAAGACCAGACAGAAACAAATCATCCTGCTTTTTGGATATGGATCAAAGGGAACAGTCACATGTCGTATTTAACCTTTCATTAAATGACTCTAATTTGTACTCCAAGACACTAAACCAAAACGTGCCTTTATGGTGTTTCCAAGAACTAACTCCTCCACAAGCCATTTATTGACGGTATTCCTAAACCTTGCATAGCAGCAAGGTTAGCAGTCCCTGTTCAATCTGGTTTAGACAGATTATCACCTGTCACAGCCCACAGCCTGTCGAGCAACTTTTGGGATGGTGTTCCAGATCTAGTATCAGCACTGGAATACTGGACAGGCATCACACAGCTGATCATTACAAATGATTAGCCAGTAATTTCATGCAGCAGACATTTCTTTCTCTTGTTCTGTAGCAAAGCTTTGCAGTAGTGTAGTGCACTGTTTAAAAGTACTGTATCAATAAAAATGCCATAAGCAGCAAGAACATCCCAACCCCTTTAACGTAAAAGCAGTGAGGTAGCGTAAGACGAGAAGATACTTATAACATGCAAGACTTCTCTGTAGTATGTAGCAACATATAAGCTATAAGAGATCCTGAAATGGAGAGATACTCATTTCATGTTTAGACCAGAAGAGCATTTGCTTAGCACAAACAGGAAATTATATACCATTTGTGACAACACACCTAGCACAAACACAAGAATAAAGTTGGAGCTGCTACAGTAACACACCTCTGTAGCCAGTAACACACCTACTACTAGTTCTAGGCACACAGCACATTCAAATTTCTGCATTTGTGGTAGGGCTGCATCCCATTACCTACCTCCAAATAGACCAGCTACAGAAGAAGGCTCATTGCGGAAGTGAGAAGCATTAGGGTAAGCTTGAGGACCACAAAAAGAATCTGATAAGGCATATCACACAAGAGAGGAAGCCAGGAAAGGAGAAGAGGGAGAGTTACAGAAAGAGAACCAAGATATACTGTTTATCTACTATTCAAAAAACTTAATTTCAGGTCAGTCTACAAATCCACATAGACTCTAATCACACACAACTAATGGAATGAAATCAATACACATCAGACACAGTAAACAACGAGTTTACATTTTCTATAACACAAAAGGGAAAGCACAGTTTCAAAACTACAGCTATATTAGGAGAAATAAGTTATTTTTTTTTCCAGCAAATGCCATGTTTTACACCCAAGGAAGAAATGAGTGTAAAAGATTCAAGGCATTTTTCTTATACCTGAAGTATAAGGATACAGCCCAATAGTAGATTCATATTTGGTTGCCACAAAGGGATTTAGTTCAGTAAATGGATTGTAATGATCTAAAGAACCAGAAAGAGTTATTTTAAACCCACATTCACATTACTGTAGCACATTGTGCTACAGCTAAAACTGCCTTTGCATTTCACAGATCAGTCTGTCAGGAGGTTGCACTTTGGTTCTAGATCTACCTGTGGAGAATGTGACACTGAAAGGGAATGCAAGGTATCAATGCCATCCAACTCCAGAGACTTCATGGCTGCTGTGTGATGAATGCTACACAAACCAGTGACTGTCACAAAGACCCACCAGGTTCCTTGTCCACAGCCCTGCACTCCCACAACTTTTTGTATGACTGCAGAACAAACTATACAAAGGGAACAGACCTCACTAGAGTAACAACCCTACTTTAAAGAAGCTGTTTTTCAAGTGATCGTTCTACTTTCACAGGAACCATACAAATTTCACTGGAAGCGTGGGAAAGACTGACTAGCACCACAGGCCAGATTATGACACAGTAGCACCAGCCTGAAGCATGTGTGTACTACTGCCTCACCCTGTTGGTGCAGCACTACTGTCTTGAAACCTACCTTTGCTTAAGAACAGACCTCACAGGCAATTAATTGATTTTTAGTTTATGAAATCTAACTGAATTCTTCGTATTGAAAAGCAATCACAATACTGTGTAGCTGCACCAACAAATTCCAGAAGTATTTCTAATATGACAGCCATGATGAATCACCTCCAAAGTAAGAGTTCAAGTTTTAAAAAAGCGAGTCATTAGTTTACTGACTAGTGGGGAAACAGTTTGAGTACAGCATGCACCAGAATGTTCATGGCTTTACCAAAATTTGGTTTATGCCAACACAGCTGGGAGAAAAACGCTCACTACCAAAACAAAACATATTTAGCCTCTTATGTTTAAAAATAACATTACAACCTGAGAAAAAAAACTAACAGCATTTTCTTTTCGTTCTCAGGCATACATAGTATTTTACTCTAAGATTCCTCAGCATAAGAGACTTTGAGTAAACTTGCACTCAAACTACTGCTTTAACTACAAATGAGTTCTTTTATGCCAGGTGGAATCCCATCAAGGTAGCCAAGCAAGGATTTTGACACCATATCCATGGCACAATTACTAAATCATATTCTAACATAGCACAAATCAGCCCCAAATGACCAACTTTTACTTTCTGAAAGGCCCCACAAATATATTTTAGAAACTGAAATAGCGTTAAATTTTTTAGGAAATAGGAAGTTAGTTTAAAATGGTACTTTACCAACAAACATTTCATGTGTGGGTGTCCTACTGGTGAAAGCAGATACATCAGAAGACACAGACAGATGAGCAGCATCGTTAGTTTTTGTAAGGAAAGGATTTAGATTTGGAATGGCATCATCAACACTATCAACAGTAGCAGAAAAAGGATCTGTTCAGTTCCAGACAGCAAGAGAAAGAAGAAAAGGGAGATCGATTTAGTTACATGCTGCTTCCTAAGTACAGAAGAATAAGAGTTAAGCAGAGTCCAGGAAGTATAGGTTTTCTCCTGTCATCTCTAAAGTTGGCATGATCTAGCTACCTGCTTATTTTTCAAGTTGTCCAGAATGATCTGTTTTCTGCTCAAAAAAAAAAAAATTAGATATTAGCTATACATTTCCTTTTTTGTTTTAAATTAATACCATCTCAGTTTTATAAAATGTGCTATTTCTTGAGTGTGTTTTATACTGAACATTACTGTTTTTCCTCTTTAAACACAATCATTTTACTTTAGTCAGTCATATTCTGACACTTTAACAAATTCTCTGGATCAGAGACTGCCTCTTAGCATAACAAACCCCAGGTGTTATGTGAGGATTTGATGCAATACTATCCCAAGGATAGCTTTAAAATCCCCAACAAACAAAACCAACAGAGCTGTACTCTTCCTTCTTTAAAATGTGTTTATGGATTTTCTTCTTACTGAGCATCATGAAATTTTCGAGAGCTATGACTACACCAAGGCAGCACACAGGACAAAAGTACTTTCCTTACTACCTGGTGCACCAGGAGCAACAAGCTTATTGTGGCTGTGCCATCAGCTGCAAGTAAGCAAAGCCCTGCTCTGCTTTGAGGGACAACAGTCAGCAAGCAGTGACTAGAAAAATGTTTCTTATTAAGAACTGTTAGACTGTATTAATGGATGAAGGAAACAGACCCACATGGAGTCAGTTCTTGAGGTGTATGGGAGAGTTTCAAGGTTTCCTAAGGATGGATACAATAGCCAGCTAAAATACTCCTGTACTCCAGGATCCAACAGATAAACAGGACAGGGAAGGCAGCCACAGCAATTGCTAACAAAAGGAGCCATGGTTTAGCTGTCTAGCTTTGAAGCACATGAATCCTTGATGGAAAACTCAAGAACCCGCTAGTGAGATCAGCAAGAGTTTCATCCAGCCCTGTTTATTTTATCACAGTGCCTAGAACAGCAACTTACTCTTCTCGTCAAAACCAGTACAGAGAAATGTCTGAATAGTAGTCATAGATTTACTGAGTACTTCAGGTTTTGGCCTTTGCTTTTTTTTTTTTTTTAAATCTGGTTAGATTTATTTATCCACAACTTCTGTAAATACTACTGTGATGTGTTCAGCAGCTTCCAAGTCTAAGGTTTTTTCCTCTCCCTGAATCTGACCTCCTGATTCTTAGCTATAAATCCTGCACATCTTGATAGCATGTAGACTTTAGCCACAAGTCCTAAAGAAAATGAAATTTTAAAATCATAAAGCCATTAGTCTTTGCAGGCTTAATACATGCTTTGTTTTCCTGCAAGCTCAAAGTATCTCATTCAGTAAGACCTGACATCTCTCCCAAATCTCTTGGCTACATTTGCAAGAATGCATGAAGTACCTTAAAAAAAAAAAAACCGCTTTTCTGAATCGTTCGGCCATTTTGCAAAATGACAGTATCAAACACTGAATAAAGGGTAAGCAGAATAAGCTAATACAGTATTTGCAGCGTGTAACAGCAATACAAAACTTTGTACTGTCTTATGTACATTTTAGATAGTACTATTACCACCTAATGCACTTGTGGACATGCCAATCAGCCAGTCACCTGAAACCAAGTCCTTGCTTTCAAGTACTGCTTTGAATGCCATTCTAGAAGCTGTAGAACAGATCTGACAATAAAACGGGTCAGATTATCCTTTAATCAGCTCCTGCTTCTTTTTCCTGTTGCTGCTTCACATTCTTCTGAGTCTATTGGTTCTCCTTGTAATTGGAAAAAATCCAAACAGATAGGTCAAACTGATTATATCCACGCTGATACATTTGGTTTTTGAATTTGAGTACAAATTGATAGCTGGCAAATATACCAGACACAGCTGGCTGGCATAGTCTCCAAACAGTCTAAATAAACAGCTCGGATAAAACAATATGAAAGATGCAAAAAAGAATAAAAAAAGTTTTAAATATCTTTTTTGAAACTACTATCCATGGAATTATTTTACACTGGCACTCAACTGGAAAGTTACTACATACTACTTTATTCCCAGATCCCAAGCTTCTGTGTGGAGTTTCATGTGTTTTGCCTAGTAAGACACTGCAATAAAATTTAACGTTATCAAGATTTTCCCAAAAGCTTCATCTGTTCTCAGATTCTTTGCTTGCCTGCCTCATTCTGATTCTAGCCAGCGTGCTCAATCTTGTCCAAGTCTCAAAACCTGTTAATGCTAGTGACAAAGGTAACTGAAAATTAATTGGGTTTGGGCAACTTATATCCTTGCATATTCATATTTTAAAAACTGCTTTCTCTCTGGACAGCAACACGTCCATGTTTCTAAAGCCCAAGTTCATTCCTGAACACACGTGGCATATGTTTGTGTCCACAGAATCTGTATCTTCAGGCTATCACTAGGCACTAATGATTCAGGTGCACTTAAAAAGGCAATTTGAATTTTGAAAAATTCTAGCTGGACAACTTGCAGGTCGAAGTATTCTATGTGAAATAATAAGGACAGTTTTTTCAGTGGCACCTCTTACAGCTTGAAAAAAAGTGAAGTGAAAACATACAATTACAGAATCCACTCTCTAGGAGCTTTTCACCTCGTTACTTTTAATACTTTTGGAAGTTCAAGACAAAAGGCAGCAACTCCAATATAATGCCTTTGTAGCAATTTATCCTTTTGTTTCACACCTAAAAGCTTCTGCATCTTTTTTTTTTTTTAACAGAAACTGATTTTTAGTCCATTGCAACTTGTAGCTGGTGTGCTGCTCTTCTCAAAGTCACCATATACACCAAATACAAATATCATCACATCAGAAAATTACCTAAGGGAGGGATGTCGTGCAGTGGTTAGAGCACAGGACTGGAAATAGTTCAGGTTCCATTCTTGGCTCTGCCACTGACTTGCCGTATGACTTCAGACAAGTCAGTTAATTGCTCAGATTTCCCCATCTGTAAAATGTGGAAAGCACTTCTTATCTACCTCATCTATGTGAAGTGAGTGTTCATGTCTGTAAAGCTGAAGAGATTTTTTTATTTTGTTTTATGAAACCTAACACAAAAATGGTGATCTCAAGAATATTACCCTAAAATGTTAGCAGACAATTCAAAAATCCTCACAGGTAATTAAATCCTAGAAGACTTTTACCAGGAGTAACACAGCATTGAACAAACACAGACTTGGATTTTCAGGCTAAATTTTTACGTTAATAAAGAAATGCTAGATTGTGACGTGACCTTCAAGAGGGTGATAATTTCCCCTTTTATCTCTCACCCATGAAACAAATCAGACAAGCTGTGACAGAAGGTATTTTCCAGAAAGTGAACAAGATGAGTGAAAACATTTTTCTCCATTTCTAACTCTAAGCCTATTAAACACTGAAATTTCTATGCATGACTCAATACACTCCCCACTGCAACTTTCTCAGAAGATCTTTGCTCAGCAAAAAACTAAAGGACAAGTAAGCTACTTTAATTTTCAAAACTGTCACATATATTGGTATTGCCTCTGTCACTCAAAATTGTGTCATTTCCCCTATATATGTGAGAAGATACATAAAACAGAGTACACAGCAAAAAGTAGCTAGGAAAGTAGAAAAAATATAGAGCTTATTATGAAGATAACTGAGAAGATGTTTAGGAAAAGCTGTAGCTCATTAAAAGAAACAGTGCACTAAAACTGCAGAACAGGATTGTTCTGAAGCCTACAAAACTTTCTGAAGAGCAGCTCCAAATTTTTCACATCGTAAAAGAGAGCATTTTTTGCAAGCTTCTGATTTATGAAAAAAAAGTCTTGAAATAGAATTTACTATTTTATTAAGTGTCATTTATGTAGAAAAGTAAAAAGAAACATTTGTAAGAGATTTTTAATCCTCTACCAGTATAATCAACAGTGCAGGCAGGCAACGTGTTACCTGTAACAGAAGTATTCTGGAACATTGCAAAGCAGCACTGAAAAACAGCTTTCAGTAAACAACTAAAAAGTTCTAACGCTCACACGAAACTTGAAGTAACATTCATGACTTTCTGGAACACTCTTGCTTGCCTCCTTGTTTTAAAGGCTTGCCTTTTACCAAAATAATCTAACATCTCATTCAGTCCACCCCAGCAATTGGACAGAACAATAATTTAGGTGTTCTGAACCACAGCTTTTTATTAGTTTGCTTTTGTAGTTAAATGCAATACAGTAAAGAATTGTTTGCAATATTCTCTTGCTCTTTTTGCCTTCTATGCACAGCTGTCAAAACTGCCTCCTTTCAGGCTTCATCCAAGTTCTGCTCTATTATCACCTACAAATTTGATTTAGTATTAGACAAAACCTAAAACGTGTATTAAAAAAGTTCTGTATTTACCTTCCCTTGTAAACAACAGGCTATGTGGCAGACATCTTCACAGAACTGACTTCTTGCAGCTAAGTTTCTGTAGCTTGCTGTGTGACTCTTGAAGACAACCATTATGAGGCTGACAGAGCTGATCAACAATTCAATGAACTTTGCTGCTAAGGACTCCCATATTAAAATTCTTTATCATCATCACATACTGCTACTTTATTTTAATCCATACCTGGATTGGCTTTTTCCACTCCCTTCACCCATTTGTAGTTTGTCTTTGAAAGATCTTTAAAGAAGAAACAGCTCACAGAGCAGGGGTAACATTTACAGGAACGTGGCCATAGTGATTAGAACCTTAATCTGATTCAGAATTCTTACCTCCCCAGGTACTTGCTACTTGTGGAGCAGCAGGAA